AAATTAGTAGTGAGTGCAAGTAATAATACACTGCAAAAATGCGATGTGATTTTTCAAACGATCCTTGCCGAATATTTCGCTTCAGTCAATAGTTAAGAGTAGCGATATCTCTATACCACGTTTTTGAAAACTGTTCTACTTTGTTCTTTTGGGCTCAAAAACGGCTCTATTCTGTTCCAAACTGTTCCTTCCTCATTAGAGAACTGTTCTATTCTATTCTATTCCATGGAACAGAACAGGAATAGAACAGTTTAACTGGAATAGAGACATCACTAATCATAACTGTTCGGCAGGATATATGATATTCTTAAAATAATCGAATGGTGCAAAATAATTCATATGTTACCGGACAAAGCTGAAAGTACCGGTATCTTGAAGATCGTAACGACTATAGCGTTGGAGTACTGCATTTATTTATCTAATGTGATCAGAAATATATGAACGATGAGATTACGGTAGGCTCGGAGGTAGCAATCCATATAGCATTGAGAAAATAGCTATATCTCCTCATCTAATTATAATTGCTTCGCAAAATATATAATATTCTGAAAGCTGAGATTTTGAGCAATCGAATGGTGCAAAGAAGTTTATATGTTACCGAACAAACCTGAGAGTACCGGTGCCTTAAAGATCGTAACGACTATAACGCTGGAGTATTGTATATATTTATCTAATGTGATCAGATGTATATGAACGATGAGATTACGGTAGGTTCGGAGGTGGCAACCCATATAGCGTTGAGAAAATAGCTACATCTCCTCATCTAATCATAATTGCTCGCCAAAATATATAATATTCTGAAAGTAGAGGTTCTGAGCAATCGAATGTTGCAAAATAGTTCATATGTTACCGGGCAAACCTGTGAGTACGGTTATTTTGAATATGGTAACCTCTATAGAGCCGTAATAACGTGATAGAATGTATATATAGTGATAGAATGTATATAAATAATCGCCATTGCAACTTTTGCTGATTGAGATTTATGAGAATAGCCATATCTCCCCAACTCATCCATCCTCCGTATCCTGTGCAATGCTCGAGCATTCCTCAGGAACTTATGGATGCGTCTTTTTGCGGAATGCGATTCTGGGTTGTCACTTGCGTGTGAATAGATAAGCATAAAACGATCCGATATGAACTTGACTTTATTCGTTGAAACCAAAACTGTTCATTGCATCCAATATCAAATGAAAAATGCTAATGACATTTTGATAAATCTGTTCATGAATGAATTTTTTTATTTGTAGTTTTTTGAATTTCCTCTCTTCACCATCCCCTTTGTTTTGCTGCCTAGAAAAATGCCATGCATTTGAAACGAGCCTCTATTGACCCTCCTATCCAAAACTCCCGAGCATTGTTCTTGTCTTCCTCGTTCCTTCATAAATTGTTACCTTGACTATATTGGCATCACTTACTTATTGTCAGCACTATTCAGTAACTCAAATTATCCTTGCCTCCATCTATGAATTTTGTTCAGTATATGGGTGATTTGAAAATATCACAAACAATGTTCCAACACAAACGCAACTTCACATGTTTACTTATTATTAACCACGAATATTTTCAAGCAGTCATGAACTTGCAAACGCGAATGTTTGTTCGTTTTTTTTCCTGAGGATATCGTGAAACTTAGTGATTTGTCGGTTGCCGAGATCATTGGTCACGTCAAGCGCCATAACTCTCGTAACTTACAAATTGCCGACAATATTTATAAGATATTTCTGTAATACTCAATCTTGGCTACAACGTGGTATACATCATGATTACAAAGTTTTCCTGTTAGGTGGGTACCAATTCAAATTATTTGTTGAATGTTTGTACTTAACGCGAAATCGAAAATCTCGAAAACATGTTGATTTCTAGTGAATCTGTAAAACATTTTCTGTTCTCCTAGATATGCGTTACAAAATGGTAGATGAATTTCCCGGACTCATTCCCATCAAATCGGTAAGAAATTCACATTTCTATATCAAATGAAAATCCCACCTCAGCACTTGGCGAACTGTCACTCAGTTCGTACTTGGCGAAGTGTGTGTATATCGCTGATGCGAGGTCCGACAATTTGCCGTTTTCATTGCTGATTTTCAATATTTTTAATTTTACACAGTGTTTCAACAATATTTTTATAAATTCTCAAGTGATTCATATATTGTGTGGAGAACTTTTAATTCATTGCCAAAGTTTTTTATCGTTTCAAGCTTAAGTCATTATTCACCTCGTTAAGGTCGTTTTTAATAGTATTTTCATGAATTTTTGATTTGTTATGTTGTTCCTTGCTTGGTGCTGTTCAATCTATATAGACTTTAAGGTAATTCTGAAGTTTTGACAAGTTTCAGGGAGCATATTGTTGTGTCTGTACTATATCGATTCCCTTAACCGTCAACTGTTGGATGCCGAAAAGTGCGTAGAATTTATTCATGTTACGTCATATATCTTGGCGTTGCGTGCAATGTGTTTCACTAGGCTTAACGGCCACTACGGCTGGACTTTCACTGTATTTTATTCAACGGAACGATTATGATATTTCATCGATAGGTTTGGTCCGTTTCGCTAGGGCCGGAATCGCGGTTTGTTTCAATCACTATTTATTCGGAATTTTGTGTTTATCGTCGATTTTGTCCATATGTTTATTTTTGTGACTAATCTTCTTGATATTCATAATGTAAATATCCGTGCATGCGCATCAGTAAGGTTTGATCTTATGATAATTATTGCAGGCTTCACAAATCGCCCTTGATTATAAATTAACCATGCGACGTTTTCGTGGTGTCGATAATGAGTTGGAATATGCGAACGCTATGAAAGGTGCTCATGAAAGAAGTGCGCAGAAATTGCTCGATTTAGCTTGTGCAAATGGTGGTGTTTTTATTAAGGTGCCTTGTATTCCACTTATTTCTTGTTTCATTTTTAGGCTGTTCACATCTGGATTGTCCTCTTTTCTTATTTGGCATTATAATGATCCATGCCGCCAATGTCCTCATGAGACCTAATATTCTTTTAATTTTTTATTGCCGTTTTTCAGCAATTGCAGTTATTCTTCAATTAAAAGACAAGAGTAATTTTGATAGATTTACTCTTTTTAAAGATTGATGCGGTGTGGTTTCAGGTCGGACAACATTTGGCCGCACTGGGCTATCTTTTACCGGATGAATACATAAAAACCTTGAGTGTTTTGCATTCACGAGCACCAGAAAGCAGTTTGGACGATGCTCGAACTGTTTTCGAAGAAGACCTCAAAGTCAAGGTTATTCAAAACCACATTTTTCTCTCTGATTTTCTCTCCTTTCAATTACCTTTCTGTTTATTGTATATTTGTCATAGTGTTTTGCATTTATTAACCTAATTCAGATCGTTCCAAGTCAGCCCTTCATTTTTTAGAACTTAAATGTGAGGTAATTGGTGTGGCAATATGGATGAATAATTGATGATTCATTGTTGCAGTTAGAAGATGTTTTTTCGGAATTTGAAAGTCGTCCACAAGGAGCCGCTTCACTGGCACAAGTTTATCGAGCAAAACTGCGCGGAAGTGGTGAGACGGTTGCGGTTAAGGTACAACACCCTCGTGTTAAACCTCATAGTCTCATTGATATGACATCGATGGAGGTTAGTATTCCAGCCTTTTTTCCAGTGCTCTGTGCGCAAAATTAAGGAGATAGATGAACCGGAGATGAGACAGAACTCGTTGAAATTGCAGTCACGAGATGGAAAGGAATTTTTGTTCTTCTTATCATCATTCTCAATGAAAGCTGGTAGTGTTACAGCTTAGTGTCGAAGAAGAAAGTATTTTAGAAAGTCATGTTTTAAGGTGTTAGTGAAGCTAGTGGCGAAGCTATTTCCTGAGTTTCATCTTCTTTGGTTAGTTGATGAGATGAAGAAGAACTTGCCACTTGAATTAGACTTTACAAATGAGGCCGCGAACGCCGAACGGGTACGGACAATGTACGCGCATTTGGATTATCTTAAGGTTTTGTTGTCTTTCTTTTGATTACTTGTTGATTATAAATACATTGTTGAAGGGCGTCATCATTGTTAATGATACAGTTCACTATTGCTGTGCTTGTAGTTTTTGATTATTGAGTTTGTCATCATCCTCATCAACTATATTTCATTTTGATTCTGTCATCACTTATCGTTAGTCTCAATGAAGAAATTATAACTTCAGTAAGAATGATTATGGTTGGTATATTTTTCATTTCGGGCAAATTTTCCATATTTTGCCTCATGGCTCAAGCAGATGTCGTCATCATATATATTCTATGCATTTTCCCAATGAATTATTATATTTACGGTTGTGTTTAGGAAAATTTCTCGTATATCGTTTAGAATTTTTAGGTTCCAAAAATTTATTATGAATATACGACCGATCGTGTATTAACGATGGAATTTTGTGATGGTGCTCAAATAAATGATGTTGATTACTTCATTGAAAATAAGGTGGATCGTCATGAGGTATTATTATTCACATATATTGATTGTTATTTTGTTGATTGCAATAATTCTCGAGTAGTATTATCGGCAGCAATGGTTTGCATTCTGCATTTTGCAGAATTCGGGCGTTTTGCGTTATTGTTTTGGTTTGTGTCCAATTTCAATTCTTTGTTGTCAATTAAGAGATCTTTCCAACTGATGTTGTTGCCTCTTAATCAAGACATACTGTTAAGATTGACAATTCTTTCACATACCTCTTTCAAATTGACTGAATTTTGATGCTGTTTGCTCAGAGGAATTATTGAGCGTTGATAGTGGCAGATGGCGGTGATCCATTGATGAATGCCACCTATCAGTTATTCAAGCTGTTTAATTAGAACTGACTGGTAGTAGCAGTTTACCTTTGAGAAACTTTCAGGTTTGCCGTAAACTAGGTGCTTTATTCAGTGAGATGATATTCGTGAATGGATTGGTGCACTGCGATCCACATCCGGGTAACGTTCTCGTCAATAAGAATGTTGATGGCACTATTTCTATTGTACTTCTTGATCATGGACTCTATTTGGTAAACAACTCAGTCATTTACTGTTTTTTATTTACTGTCTGTTCATCGATTCTATCGCTATTCATCAGTTTACATTCATAAAATTTTTGTGCAATACCAATTTATCCCGTTAAATTATTGCGTTTTTCATTAACACTCAGTGCAACAAATATTTCAGATGGTTTAGGAGGGGAAGACCCAGGTTTGGTTGGAATGAGTAGCAATTTTTGTTTGTAAAGTCAATTCTTAGTTCTGTTTCGTACATTGTTAACTTCAGTATCTTTTAGTTGACTTCATAGTTCAATTGGCTATTGAAAATGACTGCATAGTTCTCGATAGATATCCATTGAATGTGACCTTTGCTTGCTTCATTCGATCCAGTTTTATCCGCATCTATTTTACAGACATTGCGCGACGATTTTCGGTTGAAGTATGCGCAGCTGTGGATGGCTATACTGAAGCCGGATCAGGACGAAATCAAGGTAATAGTTTTTCCGTGTCCAAAGTTTTGTTTCGACGAAGTTTCGGGTAGAAAATTTAATTTGAAAAATTATGTTTGCTTGGAAATTATGTCTTCGGTGTTCTGTCAGTTTACTTAACCAGCTCACCTTACATACCTAAACAGCGGTTATGTGAGTGAAATTGAATATGCAAATGTGGTGAAAGTGGTTGTTATTTTAGCGAATAGCAAGTGAAATGGGTGTAGGTGATCTGTATGGTCTTTTCGCGTGCATGGTCACTAATCGATCCTGGAAGGCTGTAACGGGCGGCGTGAATAAGGTGAAGGATGGGGCAGAAGAAGTGAGAGTTGATTTTACACCCTTAATGAATATCTCATTGGGTTGAAGTTGCATTTATTCATTTATTTGCCAGTTACAAATGAAGCTTATAATTACTGAAACAATATTTTATTTTATGGTCAGGCTTTGTATCACACTATAATTTAATCGTCCTTTAAAGTGTATTAATTGAAAAATTATCTGCTGAAATAGAGTTGCTAGCCACAACACTGTTAATGTGACGGTATTAATACGAAATAAGAATTAATCTGGCCATACGCAATAGATGGACAAAGTGGTTATCAGCCAATGCTCATCATTGAAACTGAGCAAAACCACTCTTCAACCGAGGTATTAAGTGAGCGATTTAACTCTTTCCAGCGAGATGAGATCAAAGCATATGCAGCGTCGTTGATACCTCAAATATCAGAAGTACTCGAAAATATGCCTCGACCAATGATTCTGATTCTGAAGACGAACGATCTTTTGCGAAGTATTGAATATCGGCTTGGTACGCAGAATCGAGCCGATGCATTCCTTGAGGTGACGATTCAATTTGACACTCTATCGCATTCGTTTTTTGCCTGGAAAAATATACGTTCTTAGGGGCTGATTGAGGGGAAATCTGTCGTAAAACGAAGAAATCTTCATTTTTCTTCTCCGATCATTCTTTTGGATTAGTCTCCGTCAAGAAGTGAATCATCCAGTTCTGCACAATGTTCAAAATGATATGATATCCAAACTGAACTTCATTTTAAAAGCGCTCTTATCGTGCTAACTTGATACTAATTTGGATGTCATATCACTTGAAACTTTGAAAGCTCTCGATAATGATTGTTACTTTGATTGTAACGTTGGTTGCGACCAATTCAACTAGGAATCCGGTGCAAATACAAT